GACTGACTTTCCTGATCTAAACACTCCATTGATTATTTAAGCTAATTTTATTTTAATAAATTCAGCTTGTTTTAAGTCAATCTTTTGTGTGGACTCCCTTCTTGTTACATACTCTGAGCCAGTTTGTGACAAATGGGGGCTCGTGCAATCCTTTTGGTAAGGCTAAATCTTGAGGCTTGATTTGTTATATATGATCAATCTGGTTTGTGACTTGTTTGTTAATGCTAAATTGAGGTTAAACACATTTGCAGAGTACACTTTAAAGTGGTTTTGGTATTAGCATTGTGATTGAGTTTTTTTGGGAGTATCACACAAGGATTTTTGTTTTAGCTCTTTGTGGTTCATTTTTGTGGATGTTGGAAGGGAGCAGCATTTGTTTCCCCCTTTCTTTGATTGCAAACCCATGTGTTTAGAAAACTGAAAAACAAAAGTACTGGTGCATGTAACTGGTGAATACAGCCACATTAGTTTGAAGAGGACAGGAGATCTTCCAGTTTGTTTTCACTTAGTGTGGCGGAGAATGTGGTTGAAGACATTGTCTTGGGAGCATTTCCCTGGTTTCCTGAGGGTCGCCAGTTTCTGGTCGCCTTTTGGGTTCCAGTGGAACCAGTGCATAAGTACCCACCACCAGTATCTGTCCGACGACTAGGTATGAGATTAATTAGCTGTGTGACCGGTTAGATAGAGCTGGGGAGCCTGAACTCTGTGGTTATTTGATTTTACCATTGCACATGTTCCTGTGAACTTGTTTTTGTGGGTTTGCAATGCTAATTTTGGTGATAAGTGCTACAGCTCATGCTTTGTTTGGTTTTGCACGTGAGCTTTGATGTAGCTTGGTTTTCTCTTTGTGTGCGTCTTGGGACGACTTGGTTGGCTTGTGAGCCTTTTGTTTAGAGGAACCTTTGGGTATGCTACTTTGGTTTAGTACTTGTGTAATCCCAGTTCAGTGTGCTTTTAGAAGCTGTAATTCTGAAAATGGGCAGAGCATCCTGACCTGTGCTTTGTGTAATTGCAGGCCACCTTGTAAGAATGTGATGAGCTTTGGTGCTCATTCTGAGAGCAACATTTTGATGTGTACTTTGGGTTGTGGGTTTAACAATCTCCTGCTGACCCTACTTCACTGCTTTGTACCCACGTTACTGAATTCCTGCAAGATACAAATCTGCATTCTGAGGTGGATATTGTTCCAAATCGAGTCCTACAAGTTTTCTATAAGTCTTTTAACTAGCCATTAGTTCTGTTGTGACCCTCTTCCCATGCACTAGCTTCTGATACCAGTAGATTTCTCATTCTTAAATTGCTCCACTGAATCCGAGGTTGCTGGGTGAGGGATTGGATCTGGTAAGACTGGTGGTGGGTGGAGATTTAGGTCACTGTTAACACGGAAGTAAGTTTGTATGATGGCTCGTCCAATGTAAAGGGGGACACTTGGTAGACTCCAAGTCAAAAGTGGAAATGTTTTTTCTCATGTTGAATTGTTTCAAGCTTTGTATGTTTTGTGTTCCAGATGTCAAGGGGTGTGACGCCCCTCCCAATGTCTTTGAGAACGTTTCAGCCAGTCTCATCAGGCAGCTGGCTGACATGGGAGGGTCGTTACCATGATTAGGCTCACCTGGGCTTCCAAGCTATAAAAGCTGCCTAGTATGTTCACTCACTTGGTCTCTCCCTAACATTCAGCTGACATCCACTGAGCATCTTTGGTTTTGGTTTGCACCTTCAGCACCTCCACAGAACACCTGACACTCACCCATGCATGGCTTTCTTTTTTGACTTTTTTGATCTACACACTCCATTGATTATCTAAGTTAATGTTAGTTTAATAAATTTGGCTTGCTTTAAGTAAATCTTTAGTGTGGACTCCCTTCTTGTCACATACTCTGAGCCAGTTTGTGACACCCTAAATCAAAACTAAATAAAAATGATGGATTAAAAGGAGTATTTTGATTAGCATTCAGAGAACTCTGAGCAGCTTCAAAAAATAAAATGGCAACTCACTACAACTGCTGTGAAATTGATGTGTGTGTATAACTTTTTATCAACTCTGTAAGATGTCAACTCTGTCAGATCTTACCTCTGACCTTCATTATACCTTCATTATTACAAGGTTGTTTGGCCACACTGTTCGCAAAATATTTTCTGACAACTTCATTCTGTGTAGTTTAAAAGAAGGTTGTTGCCGAAATAGATAGTATGGTATGTCAAAAAAGTCAGTATAGAATGTCACAAAAAATGTCATAGTATATCATGAAAAAATGTCATAGTATGTTATAAAAAATGTCATAGTATAGTGTGTTAAAAAATGACGTAGTATACTATGTCAAAAAAAGTCATAGTATAGTATGTAAAAAAAAGCCATAGTATAGCATGTTAAAAAAAGCATAGAATGTCACAAAAAATCAGTTTAGTGTGTTATAAAAATGTCAGTATAGTATGTCAAAAAAAGTCAGTATAGAATGTCACAAAAAAATCAGTTTAGTGTGTTATAAAAATGTCATAGTATAGTATGTCAAAAAAAAGTCTTACTATATTATGTCATAAAAAATGTCATAGTACAATTTGTCAAAAAAAAGCCATAGTATGTCATAAAAAATGTCATACTATAGTGTGTCCAAAAAAGTCTTACTATATTATGTCATAAAAAATGTCATAGTAGTCTTTCAAAAAATGTCATATTATAGTATGTCAAAAAAAGTCAGTATAGAATGTCACAAACAAACGTCATAATATAGTCTGTAAAAAATCTGATAGTATAGTATATCATAAAAAAATGTCATTGTATAGTATGTTAAAAAAAATGCAAATATATGGCATGTTATAAAAAATGTCATAGTATAATGTGATAAAAAAAAATTCATAATGTAGTATGTAAACAAAAATGTCATAATATAGCATGTCATAAAAAATGTCATAGTAAAGCATGTTAAAACATGTCATAATATAGTATGTCATAAAAAATGTCATAATATAGTATGTCAAAAAAAATGTCATTGTATGGAATGTCAAAAATGTCATATTTTAGTTTGTCCAAAAAATGCCATAGTATAGTATGTCATAAAAAATGTCATAGTATAGTTTGTCACAAAAATTCCATAGTATGGTATGTCAAAAAAATGTCATTGTATGGTATGTAAAAAAATGTCATAGTATAATATGTTATAAAAAATGTCATAGTATAGTATGTCAAAAAGTCATAGTATAGAATGTCACAAACAAACGTCATAATATAGTCTGTAAAAAAATGTCATAGTATAGTATGTTAAAAAAATGCCAATATATGGCATGTTATAAAAAATGTCATAGTATAGTATGTCAAACAAATGCCATAGTATGTCGTAGAAATGTCATAGTATAATGTGATAAAAAAAATTCATAATGTAGTATGTAAACAAAAATGTCATAATATAGCATGTCAAAAAAATGTCATAGTATAGCATTTTAAAAAATGTCATAATATAGTATGTCATAAAAAATGTCATAGTATAGTATGTCATAAAAAATGTCATAGTATAGCATGTCAAAAAAATGTCATATTATAGTATGTCAAAAAAAAGTCATAGTATAGTATGTCAAGAAAATGTCATAGTATAGTATGTCAAAAAATGCCATAGAATAGTATGTCAAAAAATGCCATAGTATTGTATGTTATAAAAATGTCATATTATAGTTTGTCATAAAAAAAGTCATAGTATAGTGTTATAAAAAAATGTCATAGTATGGTATGTCAAAAAAATGTCATAAAAAATGTCATAGCATAGTATGTCATGAAAAATGTCATAGTATAGTGTGTTAAAAAAAATATCAAAAAAATGTCATGGCATAGTGTGTTATAAAAATGTTATAGTATAGTATGTCAAAAAAAAGTCACAGTATAGTGTGTCATAAACAATGTCGTAGTATAGTTTGTCAGTAAAAATGTCATAGTATTGTATGTTATAAAAAAAATGTCATAGTATAGTATGTCAATAAAAATGTCATGGTATAGTATATCATAAACAAAATGTCATAGTATAGTGTGTCATAAAAAATGCTATAGTATAGTGCATTAAATAATGTCATAGTATAGTATGTTATAAAAAATGTAATAGTATAGTATGTGACAAAAATGTAATAGTAGTATGTGCTAAAAAATATCATTGTATAGTATGCCATAAATTATGTAATTGTATAGTTTGTCAGTAAAATATCAGTATAGTGTGTCAAAAAAATGCTATAGTACAGTGTGTTAAAAAATTTCATAACATAGTATGTTATAAAAAAACACAATAGTAGTGTGTGCTAAAAATATCATAGTATAGTACATCATAAATTATGTAATTATGTATAGTTTGTCATAAAAATGTCATAGTATAGTGTGTCATAAAAAAATTAATAATACAGTATGTCATAAAAAGTAATAGTAGTGTGTGCTAAAAAAAAATGTCATAGTATAGTATGTCATAAATTATGTAATAGTATATTTTGTTAAAAAAAGAGCCATAAAATATGTGATAGTACAATATGTTTTGTCAAGGTCATAGTAGTATAGTAAGTTAGTTTTAAAAACATCACTGGATAGTATGTAATGAAAAATGTTATAGTATACATTATGAGAAAAAGTCATCCTATGGTATGTCATCAAAAAATGTTGCAGTGTTATATGCTATAACAAATTTATTGTATAGTATATTATAGTCATAAAAATACAACAGTTTAAAAATGCATTAAAAATGTCATAATATAGTATGTTATTGAAAAAATGTGTCAGTGTATAGACATAATATACCTCTGAAGTAATGTACATTTTTTCTTGAGCTAATCTCATTCAAACAATGATGAAGCGGACACAAGCTCAAGATTCGAGCTTAGTTTTAGAGGCATTTAAATGAACTCCACTGAAGCCAAGAATAGCTGTAAGGTAAACACACACACATCAATGTCAGAGGAAACTGCATGCTTTCATAGGCAGAGGAGCAAACACTGTATTGCAAACACTAAAAAAAGAATTATTCAGATACCCAACATTTGACTCAGCTAGCTTTATTATGGCACTTTGTACAGGTCACATTACAACTCAACATTCTGGGTTTCTTGGATCATACAGAACATGAAGAGATCAAGAGAACATTGCATGTTTAGAAAAATAACCAAGGATCTGGAAGCAGCTTCATTTTAACTGCACACATACAGTGTAGGAGTGATAGGTTCTGCCTATGTGAACATTTGGTGGCTGTAATAGTTTCTCCTCTCCATGCTGTCTGTGAAAAGCTCCTTTCCTAAGCAATTTCAGTATAAAGCGATGAGGGACAAAATCCTTCCTCTGTCTAACATTTAGTGAAGTTCAGCTGAGGTGTCAGCAGTCTGAGTTAGCTATGTGTTTCCCTTTCAAAGTTAGTACAAACTTTTTGTTTGGCCAGCCTTTGCAGAGGGACAGTAACTTTGGAACCAACCGACTTGATTTGGCTCACTTGGCTTCAGCCCTGTATAAGCTTGGGCTTAACTTCTGAATGCATTTGTACACGGAATGAGGACTGTGGATTTAGTCCCCCATCACTTTCATTACACTTGTGTTAGGATGGGATGTTTGCACACCCAGTAGAGAGACAAGGAACAGTTACTACAACCAAGAACTCTGTCAATGTACATATGGGGCATGTTAACCAACACTCAAAACTTTGTCTGCCCTCACAAAAGAAAAGACAAGATGAAGTCCTTTCAATTAAGAAGCTGCAAGCAGAGAATATTTGGCATTTATGCTTGATAAATTAATTAACCAACAGTTACTAATAATTATCTGTTAATCAATGTATCGTCAAATTGTTTCAATTCTGATTTGAAATCAGTGGATATGAGGTCTCCCGTCTCCAAACCATTTCTGACATCAATACAGCAAAACCCTGATTATCAAAGAAAACAGACATCTAGTACCTGCCTCTTCTTCAGCAGTCAAAAATACAGATATGTGCAAGGAAACTGTACAAAACCCATTCCTGTACGTAAAAGGAGCATCTCAGGTTGGTGTACGTAAACATACACTGTGACATCCATCCACACATACTTTGTGCACGGTGTTATTCTACACACAAACAGATGTGGGTTCCAAGGGATCGAAGGTAAACAGGTTGCATTGAAGTGCTACGAGATCTTTCGTTGGCACACGAGGAGTAAACATTTACAGTATTTACATCTGAGATTAAATAATCAGTTTTCATGCGTTTCCTAAAAACAAACTGTATCGTAGAAAATAAAGTTCTCACATTCCATTTGAATATTTTGTTTTGTGTGGAAATTATATTTAGCAAAAAGAATAAATGGCATTCACTTGACTTTACATGATCATTTCTCCTGTTCTGCTGAATGTATGCTTGGTTCTTATACTGTACAGGATGCATGAGCAGTAAGAATTAACAGGAAGCATTCTGCGATTGGCATTGAGTTGAATAAAACTGTAAACCTAAAAAACCATGCTACTAAAGGTACTCCAACAAGAGTCACGATAAAGCTGACTGACTGAGCAATCCTCTGAGTGGGATCCCAAACCTGCCACACTCTAGTGAGCAACGCAGCTAGAAAGAGTGACAGTGTGAGGAATAAAACACTTCTATAACTACAAACTTGCATCTGTCCTTTGTCTGAGACGTCGATGAATAAATTAAAACTGAACCTGAATAAATACGACTTGAAGTGACAGTAAGACTGTGATTTCTGGGCCAAGAGAGCTGTTGATCTGCTGCAACACCCCAGATAACGAGGTGTTCCTCTGGCATCATCCTCACCCTTTGGTGCCACAGTTTATGGCTGTCTGACCAGCCCTGCATCAGTCAGTTTAAGAGAGTTCAGCAGACTCCCAGGCTGGCCAGCAGGTCTGTTAGGGGGGCGGGGGTTGGGGCGGGGATCAGCTCATTAGGGGAGGACCAGTGCAGGATTTGGGTGGGCTGGCTGTGAAGTTCTTCTGGAAGATGCAGGAGGGGAGGAAAGTTTAGGTCCGCACCCAACTGATAGGCACCCAGAAGGACTCCCGCTCCAGCCTCTCCAGGATACCTCGCAGTTCTGCACAGGCACTGGCTGAGTCCTCCTTGATCAGGACCCGATCCACCAGGTGTCCATACTGTTGATCGATCTGAATGGCAGACTGACGCATCTCCTGGAGGTCTTCGTCCTGTTGCAGACAGCAAAATGAAATCATTTCAGTAAAAAGAGAGACACATACAGGAGCTAAACCAGCCCATTTCACAAAAACTAATCTTAACTACCAATGGTGGGAGAAGTATTCAGATCCTTTATGTAAGTAAAAGTAGCAGTTCTACACTGTTTAATGTTCCACTAAAGGTAAAAGTCCTGCATTCAAAAACTTACTTAAAGGAAATGGCCACTTAAGAATGAAAATATAGACCGTACTTACTGACCCTCATGCCGACAAGAAGTCCAGTGTAGTTTTTTAATCCACAAAACTTGTTCGGGGTATCAGAGGATAACAGCTAGCCGGATAACAGCTACACTTGAAGTGCATGGAACCCACATTTTGAAAATGTAATAAAACTCCGCTAACGCATTTCAAAAACGTCAGAACGGCTCGTAATCCAAGTGCCCTGAAGCCGCTGCATGCAAAATTGACTTGAAAAGACGTAATTTACTCACTTTTATAGTAGTCTCACTCGCCAGACCTTTCTCAAGAAAAGAAAGGTCTGGCTGGGCCGACTCTCACTTTGAGATTGGAGAAAAAAACACCCCGGCTGCCTGTATTTCTTTCAACCAATCACAAATCGTTCTGGGCGGTGCCACAGCAACAGTGCACTTGCAAAAATATTGCCGGGGGAAAACAGGTTTTGGTGTAACACGCCCACAAAAATATCACCTACAGGACGCGAACCATGGCAGAAAAATGGCTACATCCCCGCAAGATCAAACACCGCAAAAGTTAGTAAAGGACGTGCTGAAAACGGTTGAAAACTGCTACACAACCAGAGGTGGTAGGGCGGGACTTCAGTGGGTGGCTCGTTCCGCCCAATGAGAGGCTGATATGCAGCGAACTTCCGCCCACTCAGACTACGTTTATAGCATCATTTCTCACCGTGGTCAGTTAGCCTGTGCTGCAGGCATGCTGTGTTTACATGGTAACTCACGCGAGACTAGCTGATGGCTAGTGGTGGTGCTAGTTCTCGAGTCTCACGTGAGTTGCCATGTAAACACAGCATGCCTGCAGGGCAGGCTACCTGACCACAGTAAGAAATGATGCTATAAAAGTGGAGTAAATTACGTCTTTTCAAGTCAATTTTGCATGCTGTGGCTTCAGGGCACTTGGATTACGATGGACAAGCCGTTCTGACGTTTTTGAAATGCATTAGCGGAATTTTATTACATTTTCAAAATGTGTGTTCCATGCACTTCAAGTGTAGCTGTTATTCTGGCTAGCTGTTATCCTCCAATACCCCGAACAAGTTTTGTGGATTAAAAAAGTTTAAAAGATTAAAAGTATGTAGGAATTATTTCCAAAATATTTTTAAAGTATAAAAAGTACTCATTTTGGAGTAAAAGAGTAAGAAGAAGAAGAACAAGAAGAAGAAGAAGGAGAGGAAGAAGCTTATATGTTGACTAAACTGTCTAACCATGCCCTAGGACCAGTCTGTGGGGAGTTCTGTAATTATTTTGTATGGTCTGGGGGCCTTTTTTCATTTTTGTATTTATTCCTTTTGTATATATATATATATATATATATATATGTATATATTTATATATTATTTTCACTGTCAGTTTTAATGTGCTTATTTATTCAAATGTAATTTTATTATTTTGACAGTTTTTTGGTGGATTGAGACTGGTGCTGTACACCCTCTTGTACGGATCTCTATTATCCTGTTTGTATTATTTTTGTTAGTGAAGACTGAATGTCTCACTTGACATCTACCGTAATGTACCACCCTACAAAAAACAAAAAAAATTTCAATTACAAAAAAAGAAGACAAAACTTTATTTATATAGCACATTTCAAACAATAAGGGCCTTATAAGCACTGAGTGCTTCTCATGAAAATAGACATCATACAATCATAAAATTGTAAAACCATAAATCATAAAATCAAGTAAAATACAAAATGTAAAAAGAGTTGCAGCTGTGTGAAAAGTACACAACAGAAAAACTACACACACACACACACACACACACACACACACACACACACACTCTCACCTACTTCTGTATACATGTAAGTTCACTGTTTATTTCTTATCTCTGTTCAGCTTTTTATGTCCTTGTTTTTAGCTGTATGTATATTGCTATATATTTGTCAAAGGTTTTTGGAACTGTGTGTAAGTGCTTTGAGAGCAACTTCAAACACACGTAATTGGCCAATAAAGCTGATACTTAATTATCCGACTGCTCCCTTAAATAGTATACGATATTTACTGCTGCACAATGGATTAAGGAACAATAAGAACTGCAAAAAATAGATTTACTCCTTCTTAGCCACTGAAGTGAGACTCTATTATTGCCAAGAGAAAATTTAGGACTCACTGTAACTCGTCCATGCTCTCCCCCTCCTGGTGAAGTGGCAGCACTGCGGCGACGTCTGCTCTCAGGAACACGGGGTTTGACGAATATTACATATGGCTTGAACTCTGCTGTCCGCAGCCTCTTCAGGGCCTGGAGTGATGGAGGATTTACATACAAGAGAGCAAACAGAGGTCAAGAATCAGACATGACAGGAGAGAGTCAACAGTGATACATCAGCCTCTCCACATAGACAGCAGAGCTGATGTGACTGCCTGCCCTCATGTACAATCTGCAAACTGCTGCTGCCTGCAGGATCTCTAGCTCATGATATGTTATGATAGTGTGATGCATTCGGATGTGCATTAAACAAGATCAGTCAGTGGTTGTAACGTGATGCCTACCTCTGGCTGCACATCCACTATACACATCTTATTCTTTGCCTGCACAGAGCGGATAGCCTCTATACTCGTGCCGTACTGGTTCTCCTTGTATTCCCCGTGCTCTATGAATCTACGGAGAAACAACAAAACTTTCAGCAGGGTACAAATCACATAAAGACACAGAAGTGACACAGTCACAGTGTAAACATACTTGTTGTTTAAAGCATCTGCGTCAAATTGCTGTTTGGTGACAAAGTGGTACTCCACACCCTCCTTCTCATGAGGCTTCTTGGGCCTGGTGGTATCTGTGAGCACACAAAAAAGGAATTTACTTGTACTTGTAGTATAATGTGTGCTCATTGATAAGTTAAGCGTGTACAAAGTATGACTTACGTGGTACAGCCACTGCAAAACGATGTGGGTTTTCAGCAATCACCCGCTGTTTGAGTTCATTGATTCGTGCTCCCAGAGAACCTTTGCAAACAGATTGTGAGTTCAAGAAGAGATTAGAAAAGAAATAGTTAACTACAGTGTGTTGAAAAAGCTGTAAGAAATGGGTCATTGGTATGTTGCAACACATGCTCTGATCCACTAGGTGTCACTATCATCACAGGGGAACATTTATATCTGTCAGTGGCTCAGTCTCACCAATCAGAACCACCAGACGCGGCCTCTCATTGGGCCTCTGCTGGTAGCGGGTCACCTCTTCATAAGTCAGGAAGTCAGGGTCTCCTGGATCAGAGCCCTCTCCGGAGGATCCTTGTCTGTCCTTACGACTCAGCCGGAAACTCCTCCGTAAACCAGCTACATCAAGGTAGGGGTGGGAGGAAAGAAGGAGCAGAAATAAAAAAGTTCTTTTGTCAGATGTCAGGAAGCATGAAGTTATTTACACAAGATAACATAAGTACACTCACTTGCAGGTGTTATTTGCATTAAAAAAGTTCTTAGATAAGTGCAGTGAGCAAATGTAAAAGCAACGTTTCAAATAAGACCAACTCACTGATAATCATGCATTAAAAAACCTTTGCAAATAGTGCACAGGGACGAAAATAGCTCACTCTTATCTGAAGTGTAAATACCTGATAATATGAGATATTAGCTGAACTTAGAGCTAATTTGACGTCATGCTTCAACTAAACATTGCATTACATGCAGCTGATAGTAAACACATCAGGTGAAGCAGACTCTTTTATACAAAACATTCCTTAAATTCAGTTTTAAAAAGTGATTAAATCTCTTTCAGCAGTTCGAAACAGATCTCAGTGACCCAAAAATACACATCATTTTCCAACATTATGGTCCAAATAAGGCATGCTGCTTTGAAACGAGGCTACAGTGCTGAGGCAGGACAGACAGGACAGCCTGGCCCTGAGAAACACCACGTCAATAGCAGACTACAAATCAGGGTCTCCCATGGCCAGGACTGTCTGTATCCCCCCGTCAGTGGTGTGTACCTGAGGGAATGAGCCGGGCACTGTACCTGAATAAAATTCCCAGGAAAACACCTGGCCACAGGAGGGCGCCACTGCTTTACACTTAGGAGAGACTATAACTGGCGTTAGAGCATCACACAACCCAGCCTCACACCTCCACACAGGGTGAACGAGCAGCAAACGTGCCTGGTTGAGTGTGCAATGCGTCCAACGCTTGCAGGGCCCTCATGAGGGGGTCAGGGAGGGTGTTTTGGGGAAGGGGAAAGCAGTACACTGACCACAGGACAGCAGCAGTTAGTTAGATGCAGGGCAGGAGGGGAGGGAGGCTTAGGAGGATCCAAACACTGCAAGGGGGGGGGGGGGGGGGGGGGGGGGGGGGGGGGGGTTTTACAGCTCCAAGCAGAGTGCATGATAGGAAGCACAAATACTGTTTTGATCATGTATTTTGTGTTACAGGGAGAAGGTGCTGATAAGCTTTCAGCTGTGTTTAGATCGCTCCTTGTGCTCATCATCATTCCAGCAGCTCACAGGATGTGGGGGAGTAAACAGGGGTCAGGTTGGGCTGAAGAAGGGTGAGGGAGGGGAGGCCAGTGGAAGGCTAGAGAGGGGTTGAGGATAAAGGGGACTTACATATGCCCTTCACCCAGATTGGAATTTTAAGCTTGTTATCGCAACATAAAGAAGCCTTTCTACCCATTTTAGTGCAGTAAGTATCAACATTTCCCATTACTGTACCTTTTTTTTTTTTTTTTTTACACAGGTCTGTACTATCCTAATCATTTGCGAAAAAAATTCCTGGAGAGAACCATCATTTGGTACTACAATAGGAATTAATCTTGAAAGAAGAGCTCCATTTCATCCCAAGTGGATATTTGTGTATTTATATTTATCCTGTGCACTAACATTTGTTTGAAAATAATTGCGAGGTTAGGGTTTGGGCAGTGTCAAGGTCTTACGATATACCGGCATATTTAAAAATCTTAAAGGTATGATTTTCAATACCATCAAAAATACAGATGCTTCTTTTTTATTAAACTGATACGGACATGCTGTAATGAGCTATTGTAGTGCACAGCATGTGCCACCAGAGGTCAGTCTCTACAGATAAAGCAAGCAGCTGAGCTGAAAAAGGTGGTGATTGGGAGTGGTGGGGATAATGTTACAGGACTAGTCAAAAGGAAAAATGCCTCTGCCCCTATTTGGGAGTAATGCCATATATAACTTTATCTTCAGATGACTTCTTCGACTACAAGAGCAGTTCATTAGCCACATGATCTTATTCATCACATCATCTCTGTTCAGCCCTCTAATGTTTCTGTATCCGCCATGACAACAAGTGACAGTGGGTCCTCTAGCAAGAAGGGCACTTATTTCCTATTTATTCATTATTCTATGGGCCATAAGTATTTGAACCCAGCAAGACTTCTCAAAGTAGACTAACTACACATACAAAACACAGCATTGTAAGCCTGACAGTGATATATATGCTACAATGAGTTTTATCATCAGCATCTTAGCTTTTACAGTATTTTTCATGTGTGTATCATCATATACCGTATACCTCTGTAAAATATTAAGAAGGAATGAAAAAATAAATACCAGCCAAACCTAGCAAAAGTGTGGACATGAGCCACACGACTTGGACTTGATCCACAAATCTGATGACTTTAGACTCAACTTGAATCAAAATCAAAAAAGACTTGCAACTCGACTTAGACTTTAACACCAATGACTCATGGCTTCACTTGGACTTGAGTGTTTCGACTTGAAAATACTTGATACCTTCCCTGAAGCCCAAAGATTGAAAAGTATGCTGTTTAAAAAGTGCGCCACAAATCAGTTCATTTCAAGTGAATAAACTAACGCTAAGGCTATGCCTTGCCAGCAAGTCTATACTTCATTCCTCAGATCCACTTTGTTTGGACAAATCCAACAGCATCCAATCAAGCTGCAGGAGCATCATGTGGAAAAAAAATAGCATACAAAAACTATGCGGTTATCAGTGGTGAAAAACAAAGAACTGCAGAATGCAAAACGCGTGGGTCTCAATCCACAATCTCAATCTCAACTTCCAACAAACTTATTTTAATGAATAAATACATACTTAAAAAAGCATTCAGGATTTTCATTACTGTGTTAAAATGGTATTACATTTAGTAAAGAGCATATTGTGACTTGTTTTGGACTCTGAACTTGTCAGTCTTGACTTGGGACTTGAGTGCAAAGACTTGAGACTTACTTGTGACCTGAAAATCAGTGACTTGATCCCACCCCTGATTTATTGTACTAACTGTTCCAACTGAAGACTGTCTCTCTTTACTCTGTAAGTAGCGCCAAATGACAGAGTGCTTTTCAGGACACTTCCTGAGACATAATTAGAAAATGATAGACTCATAACTCATAACAAATTCTGCACTAATCAAATCCATCGCTTTATTTTTAATGTAATACGGTCTAAGTCTGTTTTGCTTCTATACTGTGATATCTGACGTATCCCTGAACTATCTGTTAACTCTAATTATGCAGTGGAGTCTCTGAAGAGGCAGATCTGTTACTGGCACCGTCAGAAGTGTGAGACAATATTTCCTACACATTTTTTTCTGCAGTCAGATTTGATATAAACACTTGCGATGTTTTTTCTACACCTGCACATGTTTTCCCTTCGCCCTAAATAAATCAGATCGCTCCTCATCCATCTTCCTCCTTTGACATTGTCTTTGACCCCGTCTCTTGACCCTTCGCCCCCTTCCTTTTATCCCTCAACCCCCGGCCCCAGACAGGTCAACCCTACACAAGCAGTCATTTTGACCCCCAGCCCAGAAGCACCCAGGGACCCAATGCACAGCCAGGCTGCAGCAGGCAAAGAGCAGATAGGGAGAAGGAGGTGGAGAAAGATGTGCACGCTCTCACCTATGTACTGTCCATTGAAATAGCCCTCACAGTCACAGTCCTCTGTAGGGAGGCAAGCAGGGAAAAGAGGGGGTAAGCACAGGGTAAGAGACCTGGAAGAGTTAAGGAGTAAGGGGAGGTGGAGGAGTCAAAGAGGGTGGGGCGGGCCATAGGGCGCTGGAGAGGGCAGGCGGGGCAGACAGGCAGCAGGCAGGCAGACGGCAAGAGGCGAGAGTGGAGGGGCAGCCAAGAGACAATGAAGGAACGTTGTTGGAGGCAACAGCCGCTAACGAAGGCTTGATGAAGAGGCTTGACATTACGAGAGGAGAGGAGAGCAGAAGAAAGGAGAGAAAAAAATGGCTCCTTCAACTGGAGAGGAGCCAGCTGTGAGCCGCGTCTCTGTGACCCACACACACACACGTAAACAAGCCTCGCCTCCCCAAAGATTCACAGCTGAGGTACAAACTGTTTCACATACAGAAACCTACAAATGCACAGCCCCAAAACAAAAGACAAATGTTTACTTTTAATCATCTATGTCTCGATTCTGGCCTTGTATGATGAGACGCACTGATGGCAGACAGAAAACAGACTAATGATGGATGAGGAAAAGTCTCTAACAGCACAGAAACAGGAGGAAACAACAAAAAAACAGCAGCTGGAACTGCAGCAGAGCAAAAGATGAGGAGTGGAAAACAGAACAAGAGATAATAGGGACTGACGATGACGCAAAAGAAAAGACGAGCTATTGTTATCTTTAACAACCTCTGCTTGGTTGGGCTAAAGTCTCCAGAGATGCTGTTCTGCCTGCACATCACCTGGTACAACACACACACACACACAAAAGCTAAGCAAAGAATCTCTATTCTAGTCTGGTGCACTAACAGCAGGAGGGGAGGAATTAAGCTGGAAGCGGTAGAAATCCCAAATGGACACCCTACTAGTACACATGCAAGCTATACACACACACACACACACACACACACACACACACACTGAGGCTTTGAGGCCTCTAAGAACATTTTCCATTGTGTGTTTTGTGTGATGATGTGTTTGTTGTTCTACATGAATCATGTTTGTTGCTGCACATGCACCCACCTTTATCACATCCTTGGTCATCTGATATAGTTGCAACAAGGAGAAACAGAGTGTAAAACATTAGAGGAGGTAAAAATGTCATGCTGCTGTTGACGACACATAAAAGAGTGAGATTTAAAAATGTATGAAATGAGGATTTCAAATTTGAAGAGATTTATTGCCGTCGTCAGTGACGTCACAGATGAGACAAGGGAGGGGGATCCACATTTAAAGGGCCCCTGCTGGGATTTAGGGGAATTAATCAGAGAGCTGGAGGAGCGTGGAGGGAGGCCGAGACAGAAGAGTCCCCGCAGGCTTGCTGCTGCGCGGCGTAGCAGGGCTAGCTGCCACACCGCTAAGCTCTTGTTGTCTCCCCGTGGCTCAGGCCTAATCGGATCGCCTGCAGCTTACGCGCCACTAAGAGCCACCACTCACATTACCCACTCACCTGGCGGGTTTACACGCCGCTGCTATAGTATCAAGTGAGAAAGTGAGAATTGTAATATATTGTTGGGGCTTTGTTTCTCAGTGGGCGCAGCTTGTAGCACTGTCTGGATCTACTTAAGCTGCTCGCTGGCCAGATGGACCGAACATGAAAGAGATTAATTCATATCTGTGATCCCTCCCTCCGTCTCTGTGCCCCTCCATCTCTCTCTCATCCCTTTTTAAAAAAATGTCCACGTAGCAGCATGGAGAGGACGGACAATGAATACTAATGCCACCGAGAATGCCAATTACCAGCACAAAAGGTCAATAAATGTCAATGAAAACATTGCTGCATTTATCCAGCGGAGATATTATTGTCCTATAATGACAGTGATCGAGTACATTAGCAGAGAAAGGAGGGCTGATAGTGGGACATGCTGCAAGTAGTAAACTGTAATCATGAAATAATGCTGAGGGTGCAGAGAGAATCCCGGTAAGCAGAAACTTACAGACAGGCTTTTTAGGGGATTTTGGATTCGGGAGAGTGCCCATTTTCATCCTGTAGGCCAGTCGCCTGGAGATATGTGCAGCAGAACAAAGAGCCAGAGGGGACGGAGGCAGGAAGAGAATCATCAGGTCAGAAATACACAGTAAGCCAAGGGAGGGAGGGAATGTTAGAGAGGTGGAACAAAAGATTTAAACATGACAGAGGGAGAAACATACAACACTTAAGAACAGATTATGAGATAACAGGCTCCTGAGGACAAACATGTAAAGGGCCCCACCCCAACTAATAGATGTCACCAATTTTGCTACATTTCGTGACACTGATTTGTTATTTTAGAGAGGTGTTGACACAGACTTTTTTCAAATTAGAGTTGGGTCACTTTAACATGTGGTCCTAAATCTGATACATATCAAATCAATGGCCATGTGACCACTGTGAGAACGGTCATATCGGAATTCATGTGTGTTTTTCCCACACATCTATGGTTTTTCCACGTTATCCTTAACTGTGCAGGCACAGATCGCTCACCCCATAGTGTCGGAGCAGTCTGCTGAAACTACAGAAGGCTGCTGAAGCCGTACCGCTGCTGTTTTAGGCTGCCCCAGTCACCAGCCAATAGAGCAGCAACCGCCAAACACTTTCTAATGTTGACAGCTTGCCTACATGCTGTGACAGCCTGTTGTGAGGCGCCAACAGAGATATTGGAATGTAGCTTTGGATTTCCTAAAGTTCCTCTGTGAAACCCTCCACATTGCGGACCCACCACTCCTAGCTATAGCTATGGCTTTTGTGTTACTTTGTCTTCTCACCCTCATGCCGTTGTTCCGACGGCTCATAATCCTGAAGCCTCAATGTTTCGGAAAATGTCACATATCACAACAGTCCTGAAAACAAACAGCTGTCCAGTAATGTTAATCTGCATAATAATTGGCCATGTGCCTCTGTTCTGGAGTGTGCCGTTTGAGTAACAGCCCTTTGGAACAATGGACAAGATGAACTATCATCTGACATCTGACATTTACACAAACAAATGTTTTGCAAATGCAAATGTGTTGCTTTTTGTTGTTGTTCCAACTTGCATGTGAGTAATGTTATTGGTTGCATATGAGGCGTTTCAGGGCAGAGATCTGTTCACACTGATGTCAGATATGGATCACTTCAAACATGTTTGTGAACTATCTTGGCAGAAAGATCAAATCAGGGGAAATAATCGGAATTAAGCAGTAAGGCCTGTAACGTGAACGTAGTCTTTGTCTTCTTTTATTGCCTCTACTTGGTCTTTTGCATCTCTAGTTTTTTTGTGTCTCTTTGGTGTCGTCTCCATCTATTTGTGGTCTTCTTACATCTCTTTGTGATTGTTTTATGTCTCTTTTAGGTCATTTAGTGGCTCCTTATGGTAATTTTGTATCTGTGTGGTCTTTCTACATCTCATTTGGGTGTCTTTTAGGTTATTTTGTGACTATTTGATATTAGCCCCTTTTACACTGCCAGATTTTCTGTGAATGTTGGGCAGTTTTGCCGGCAAGCTGTGAGCGTTTAGACACACAGCTGGATTGGCAAGTTGATCCGAGGTGCCCAATTTTCCGCATTTTCTGCATCTCTTTGTAGCTGTTTGATTGACTTCCCAACAATAAATACAAACAGGCACTTCAAACAGAGGCTCTGTGTGTGTTAGGCTCATTCAGTAATCCATTCATGACGACACTGCGTGATGTCAGTAAGCAGACCTGAGCTTATGCTACTGTTGTTAGCTCATGCTGATGCATTCAAAGACATTCCTCTCATTCATCATTTTTGTAGCTCCGAGCTCAGAGTGCAGCACGAACACACGGCATCAGCAGAAATATGTTATTCCATCCTAAACATTATTTAACCTACAAAGCACAGCACGTGGGCTTCCCAGTGCTCGGACATCCCTCTGACCTGTGTCTTTCTCTGTGTTTAATCTGTGGTTATTAATCCAACAGACGCTGCAGTGTTTGGCAGGGATCTCCCAGCCAGCTGAGATCATTTTACTGACGGATTATGACACTAACAGTATCAGCGTGCGCCTATTCAAGGCTATGTTTCCATTTATTTATTTTTTCCCGCACTGCTTTGACGCTCCATCTAATCATAGTTGACCCTTCAAAGTGGAACACATGAACGTGGATTTAACAGATTACAAATGGAGGGATAAAATAAATATCAGCAGTGTGTGGGTGACCCGCACAGTCCTGACACTGATCAGTTTACCACCACAGGTTGTTCCCCCCGGTTGCTCTCACCTCTCCTGGAACTGTTTGGAAGGGATGAGTCCGGCCCGCAGGTTGCTGTCTCCCACACGCTTTGCCTGCCACCACGTGGGGTCATCTTGGGTCACGACCTGCAGGATGTCTCCCCGCTTGAAGGGAAGTCCCGCTTCTTGGCAAGGCGTCGCTTTGTCTTCCAGCGGGATGTAATCAAACAAGGCTCTCATATACACCTGAAAAACACCAACCACTGATCAAGCACCATATTTAGATATTATTTATTGTAAATAAACATCGTTAAGGATTTCCTCCAGTCTGTTTCCTCTTAGCTGCAGTTCCACCGAGCATTCTCAGTCACTCCGTCAGTGCCTCATCTCACCTTGCTGTCCTTCAGTCGGTCCTCTTCTTTAATGGCAGGGATTATCTTTAGAGTGATGGAGCCCTGGGACTGGGACTAGATTACAAATAGACAGAGGAAGTAGGGGAGAGAGGAGTGTGACTGCAGGCTCCAATTAAAGACAAACACTTAGTATACTTGGCTTAAAAGGCTCCCTGAGGTGAATTTCACTTTTAATGGACTATCAGTGCACCCTGTTTATAAATAAATAAAAGATGGACAGAACATTTTAGGTGATGACTCACTCCTATCGTGATCCTACAGAAAATGGTCACCATTCCCTTGAGTTTATAATTTATCCACCACACTACATAGTACAGTATGATAGGGTGTTAGGGTCATTGTAATAATGTAATGTAATTATAATAAAAAATAATAAATATTCTGTGAAAAACTAAGAATTTCTGGGATTAAAGTGGTAAATTTACAAGTAAAAATGCACACAATTTGATGCCAGGAAGTCAAGTGATATAGTATAAAAAGAAGGAAAGTCCACACAGGGAGGAAGGCATGGAGGATGAATGGGTTCGTGTCCTGTGTGAGTCACGTTGGCTGATTCTTTTTACATTTAGTAGACTTATTATTTTTAGTTTATAGAAAGGATAAAGCTGCTGACTGGGTTAGGCTGTAAATTTGGGATTTTTTTTCTTGTAATTTTACCATTTCAATTAAGTATTTTTTCATGTAAATTTATGACTTTAATTTTGAAAAATTTTATTTTTGAATATCCTCGGAATATTACCCAGCTCCCTCCCGCTCTGTGCTTTATTTTTAAATTTTATAT